GGGGGGGGCAAGGGGGTATATTAAGAGACACTATGCCAAGCTAGGCGGATTCTGTTGAGAGCGGGTTGGATTCTGGTGGTTCATCGGCAGCATTGGCGTCTGGATCGCGCCACGTTGCCCAGTGCGCGACCTGCTTTGCCATGACCTCGCCGACGAACGCCGGATCCCTGCAGGCGAGGCGGAAGTCGGGCTCGCTCTGCAGCAGGTCGAGCATGTGGAGCGCATGCGGGTACTGGAGGTACTTGACGTAGCGCGGATGGCGGAAGTAGTCGAGGTGCTTGAGGTAGCGCAGAAACGAGGGCGATGCCAGCACACCCGACAGCGCGAGGTGGTTGAGGTAGAACGGGTTGGCGAGCGAAGAGACGAACTCGAGGTCGCGCGAGAACGCCGCCTGGTTCTCCTGGCGCAGCTTGGCATCCATCTCGGAGGCGCCAACGTTGCCAGCGGGGGCAGCGGTGGGATCAGCCTCGGTGGTCATCATGCTATCAGCTCGGACTCGAGCTCGGTCGAGCACTGCGAGGATGTTGCGGGTCGGAAGACACCGCCAGCGCCAGAGTGTGATGGTGGAGATGAGCAGTCGATGCGATGCAGCTGCGAATCCGCCTTTCAGGGTCCTTCGCTTCGGAATTAAGCCGACGAGAAAAAGCACGGCTCGACTCAGAGGCCTTTCGGATGGCGCGATACTCGTGTGCTGCCTGTTTTTCCGTGCACGGACAGCGGAACCGCATCTTGATCCGTCAAACCTTCGGCTTCTCCGTCCTTGTCGACTTCCACCACACCTTCGAGCCTTCGAGCGTCACGATGCCCTCGCCAGCACTGCCAGCGTGGCCCCCGGCGCTGCCCCGCGCCAGCTGCGACTACCTCTCCGCCCAAGCTACCGACTATGCGCTCGCGCACGGCCTCGTCTACCGCCCCGTTGCCAGCAGTGCTTCGGAGCTCCCGCCGAGCGATAGTGCGATCCACGCACCGTTCTCGCTGCTGCCCTCGCCGTTCCCACGCCCGCTCTTCGAAAAGGCACAGGCGATCCAGCCGACGTACGACCGACTCTACGCGCACGTCTCGGCGGACCACCGTTTTCTGGCGCGTGTGATCGGCGAGTCGGTGGTGCACGTCGACGAGTTCCAGAAGCAGCTGTGGGATATCTACGTCGCAGTCAAGGACGAACTGGTTCAGCCACTCTCGCTCGGCCTGTTCCGCAGCGACTACCTGCTGCACGACCAGCAGAGTGCCGGCGCAGCAGAGGAGAGCATGGGCAGCCGACACGGCGAGCTCGGCCTCAAACAGGTCGAGTTCAACACCATCAGCGCCTCCTTCGGTGCGCTCTGCACAAAGGTCAGCGGCCTGCATAGACATCTGGCCCAGACCACCGACTATTTGGGTGCTCACTCGGGGCTCGCGGATCTGGATAATCTGCCGGAGAACAAGGCGCAGGACGTCTTGGCCGGGGGATTGGCCGCTGCGCACGCGGCGTATGTGGCGCAAAAGCAGGCGGCGTCCGAGGCAAAGAACGTGTACGTGCTCTTTGTGGTGCAGGAAGGCGAGCGCAATGCATTCGACCAGCGTCCGCTCGAACACGCCCTCCAGCGCCAGGGCATCCGCGTGGTGCGGCAGAGCTTCGCCGAGATCGCCGACCGCATCACTGCAACCGAAGGCGATTCGAGCCGTACGCTCTACCTCGCCCACCCTGTGCTGGGACGCATCGAGATCAGCGTAGTCTACTTCCGTGCAGGCTACGGACCTGGCGACTACCCGGGTGCTGCCGAGTGGGAGACGCGCAAGCGCCTCGAGCTCAGCCGCGCCATCAAGTGTCCCTCGATCGCGGTGCAGCTCGCAGGCGCCAAGAAGGTGCAGCAGGTGCTCGCGGAGCCGGGCGAGCTCGAAGCGCTGCTGCCCTCGCTTGGCTCCGAGATGGCATCGGCAGACCAGCTGCGCGAAACATTCACCGACCTGTATCCGCTCGACGACTCTGACCTTGGGCGCACGGGCTACGAGCTCGCACTGAACGCACCGGAGCACTATGTGCTCAAGCCGCAGCGCGAGGGTGGAGGCAACAACGTGTACAGGCGCGACATTCCTGGCTTCCTCGCGCAACTCGACCACGGAGCAGGAAGCGTGGCGAGGCGTCAGGCGTATATCCTGATGAGCCTCATCAAACCCCCTGCTGGGCTGGGCAACTATTTGGTCAAAGCAGCAACGCCCACCAACCCCGCCACGGGCGCCGTGCTCGCCAAAGACACCGTGTCCGAGCTGGGCGTGTATGGCGCCATCCTCTTCGAGACGCGTGCGGACCACAAGGTGCAGGTTCACCACCACCAGGCCGGTGGATACCTGCTCAGGACAAAGGGAAGGGATAGCGACGAGGGCGGCGTCGCCGTCGGCTTCTCCGTCATCGACTCTCCTTTCCTCATCTAGATTGAGCACGCGCAATTCTAAACGTTTCGACCTCGCGCCCAACTGTGAACGCAACTGTGAACGTTTCCACCTCACACTGGCATCAGGCAAGTGTGTGTATGTTCAAGGCACGACGAGAGAGAGCGAGACGACGACAGGATGGAGAAAGTGAGGGGGCAGAATGTACTGCTAAGAAGGCAGGAGGAAGGGGTGCGGGACCGCGCATCAACGCCAGCTGGCCGAGACGAGCTTGGCGACGGTGTGGAGTGCGTAGTACTTGACGTTGGGGTCCGGGTGGGTCATGAGCGACATGATCCTCGCCTTTGCGCCCAGATCGCCGACGCGGCGCTTGCCCTGTTCGAAAAAGTGGACAAACTTGCCGATGTCCGAGCAGGCCACTGCGAGCGTCGTCGCATCCTCCGACTGGTCGAGCACACCCACGAGCTGCTTGAGCACCTTGGCATCCTCGTCGACGAAGCGCGGCGCATTCTCCTTCCAGAACTCGTCGAGCTCGTGCACGGGGCTTTCAAACGTCAGCTGTCCCGACTGCAGCTCCGACAGATACTCGTCCCAGGTGGTCATGGTCTTGAGTCTCTCGGCCAGCTCGGTGCGGATGTACTGCAGATCCTCCTCAATCTCCTCGTCCGACCACTTGCGCGCCAGCAGATTCTCGGACAGCGGCAGCGCCTTGCTGCCCAGCATCACGGGCGTATTCACATCGGCCGCCTTGGCAAGCAGGTTGCGCAGCGTCGCCACCGTCACGCGCGTCACCTTCTCCTTGACCGCATTGCGTGCCACGTCCACCAGCAGCGGAACCAGCCCGAGCTTGACGTTGAGCTCGGCCGCAATCTGCTTGTGGAAGCTGAGCAGCCAGAAGCAAAGCACCACCTGGTACACGAGCTGCGTACCCGCGCGCGTCGCATTGCTGCCGTTGTTGGCTCCGGCCACCAGCGTGCTTGCCGCCGAAGGCGTGGTGGTGCGCGAAGGCGTGGCGGATCCAGAGCCTGTGGGCGAGGCGGCGTTCGAGTTGAACGAGGAGCCACCCAAAGGCACGTTGCTCAGCCGCAAGATTTGTGCGAGCTCCGACAGGAAGCCGCGGTCCACGTCTTCCGACAGCTGATGCTGCTCCTCCTCGTCGTCGCTGCTGGCTTTGGCCTTGCCCGACGACGAGGGCACCTGGCCCATCTTGGACACGTCGTACTCCCACGCATCGACGCGGTACTTCTGCGTGCGCAGCAGCGCTTCGAGCAGCACCAGCGCGATCTCGGGTCCGTTGCCCTCGGCGTAGTCGGGCGACATGCGGCGGGTGGCGGGCGACGTGTTGTTCGAGGCGGGAGTGCGTGCGGATGTGGCGGATGCGCCCTTGGTGCTTGCGCCTCTCAAGAGCGAGGAGAGGAAGGTGAGCAATCGCGGCAGTACGGACGAAGGTGGCTCGGGTTGCGACGAGTGGGTGGCGGAGAAGACGAGGAGGAGCGTGAGGAACTGGGCCGACTTCATCTGCACAAAGTCGTCCGGCACATCGAGCAGCTTGACGAACGGCTTCCAAGGGAATCCGACGCCGTCCTGCTCCTCCTGGCCGTCGAGCGAGAGGAAGAGCTCGATGCGGTCGTCGCGATCGGAGAGCATGTCGTCGACGAGCACCAGGATCTGCTGAAGCGTGTCGGTGCGACTGAGCTTGGAGAGCAGGCGCAGATAGAGCGACACGTACTCCTGTCCGTGCTCATCCAGCAGCGGATCGAGCTTGGAGCGGTTCTGACCGATGACGATGGCGTCGACGCTCTTGATCATCTTGAGCTCATCGGCGCTCAGCAGATCTGCCCTGTGGTAACCTTCCCAAGGGATGGGGCGAGCGCGGATGCGCTGTGTGAGGTCCTGGATCCACTTGTTGGTGAGGTAGACGAGAGGAGGAGCCTCGACGGTTTCGTTGTTGGCTTTGGCCGACTTGGCCTGGCCGTCGGGCTGCTGCGATGCCGAAGAGGTCGACATGGTGGCAGATCGCGGCTATCTAATGACAGACGCGGGGGTGAGAATGCGGAGCTGGTATGTCGGTTATCAGGAAGTCGCGTGTTGGCTCGTGCTGGATGGAGGTTGGACGCAAGCTAGCCGGGCGAGCGTTGGTCTCCGATGCGATTGCTGCGAGTCGGTAAGCGCAAAGATACTGGCAGCGGCGGAGATCAAGAGTTGGGCGGGATGGAACGGGTGGATCGAGGCAGGAGGAGACCTCTGAGAGAATGGCAAGCTTCTCGACTCCGGTAGCCAACTTGCGGCTGCGACGTGCGAGGCGCTTGGCTGCGCCGTGTTGGGCTTCGAGCTGCGAGCCTCAGCCCCTGTCCACTCTCGCCCAGCTGCAAGTTGGACCTGCGAAGGTGGCCCGTACGCTGTTGTGTGGGATTTTGGCACGCACACGCTCTCCACTGACCAAAGCCGATTTCGCCCTCCACCAGCCAAAGCCTTCCGGATTTTGAGAGAGAGGCTCTGCAGGCACGTTCGTGATCGGCTGAAACGCTCGGATTTTGGCAGCAGAGATGGGATGTTAGGCCGACGTTCAAGATTTGTGTCCCGATCTGGCTGCAACTTTTTCGTCGTCGAGCGACCAAGGTCACGCTCCTCGCGGCAAGAAGAATAGGGCCATTCTTGCAATTTTTTTGGGTGCAGGCAACCGTCATCCTGACCCGAACCTCTGATCTTCCTGATCGTTTCGGTGCACCTCTTCCAGCCTTCGCTCGCGTCCCCCTCTGCTTCATTGGCCAATATCGTCTATAGCGCGTCACTCACCTTTCAGCATCCAACAAAGGCAGCACCGATCCATCATGTCCGCAGCTCGATCCGCGGCACCGCGCTTGCGGCTCCTGCAGTCCGGCGCTCCTTCCAAGCGTCTGCTTCATGCGTCGACGAGCTATGCCGCTGCTGCACCGGCCGCATCGGCTGCATCATCATCGCCAGCTTCGGACGCAGCAGTGAGCAGCGGATCGTCGTCGACCAAGATCATCAGCTCGCTCATCCTTTCGAGGCCTCCGGTGCTGCTCCGAGAGCCGACCAAATTCGAGCGCGCATATCACGAGTACAACCGTCAGCTTTCGGAAGCGTTGCAGCAGCCTTTCCCCAAGGACTTTTACTTTAAGAAGGGATCCGCTGCCGAGAAGCGCTTCGAAGAGGACCAGGCGAGCTCGCCGCAAGGCTTCTCCGCCATCGCCGCAGAAGCATCTAAAGCGGCGTCCAAGTCGGCCAAGGGCGCCAAGTCGAAGGACGCTTCGGCCTCTTCGTCGTCATCGGCAGCCACTGCTGATGGTGAAGCGGAAAGCCGCCCGTTGCCAAGAACGACCGAGGCCGACGCCAAGAACGACGTGCGCAGCCTCGAGCGCAAGCTGGATCGAACCCTCTACCTCGTGGTCAAGCAAAAGTCGGGGACATGGCGCTTCCCTGCCAAGGCGCTCAACGACACCAAACACCAGAACCTGCACGACGTAAGTTCCCTCTACGCCAACGCTAACGTCAGACCGACTCGAGATCGTAAGACGTGTACTGACCGTCGTTCGCTTTCGACTCACAGGTTGCGCCTGCCTCGGTCACCGAGACGCTTGGCAACAAGATGGACATCTGGCTCGTTTCGAACCTGCCTGTCGGTCTTTACCGCGCCGCAGATGCTGCTGCCGAGAAGACCTACTTCCTGCGCGGACATGTGCTTGCCGGCAATGCCGAGCTCGCCAAGGGCAAGGGCGACGTCGAGGAGTTCCAGTGGCTCACCAAGGAGGAAATCCAGCAGCTGATGGAGCAGGGCAAGAACGCGAGCTACTGGCAGAATGTCGAGGGCCTTCTTGATCCCTAGACTTGGTCAGCGAATCGCACTTGTACGGAGACCATCTGCTCCTCGAAAAGCATCAACGCTGTACCTGTACTTGTAGGAACGATGCAACCCACTCCTTCTCTGTGACGCTCAATTTTCGGCATGGCAAGGCTGGAGAGAACCATCTGCCATGCTACAGAGTCTCAAGAGCATGGGACTCGACGGCGTCCTGCGGATGACGGGAATGCTCCGAAGCACGATGCCAGTCCCGACAGGTCGAAAGCTAAACGTAACACCCGATCCAGTCTTGGCTCTCTCTAGCCAAAATAGCCAAAAAAGACGTTCTTCGCGCTCAGACTGCATTGCAGACAAAGTAGGCTCTCAATACAGTCTGACTCGACCTTGACTCCATGACCTTTTGGCCCGTCTTGCTTCGGGGAGAGAGAGAGAGGGAAGCTACAACGATGCTTCCAGGCCGGTCGGAACGGTCTCGTCGGGATGGGCCCGATCGGGCAAGGCGAATTTCGGCCTGCTGATGGGCTCAAGGCTTTAGGCACTGGCGAGGGCTGCTGCGCTGCTGCAGGCCGAGCTGACTGTGCATGAAGCGCAAAGAGTCGCGTCAGCGGGCGGGTCCAACCTGCAGGCGATCTGGCGCTGGACCCGCAGCCCGGGACGAGGCTCAGCTAAACCTTGTCTCGCAGCGCAGCTCGAGCCATTTGCGCCAACTGTGGCGAACCGGCACGCGCGCGCACTGCACTGCAACGCAACCCCAGCCTGCAGGCCTGCAAGCCTGCAGCACCACAGCTCCGCAGCTGCCGGCACCCTTGCGCGTCAAGTCGCCGGGCCAGCCGACACGATTGCTCTCGAGCTAGGTACGACTGAATGCGCTCTCCTTCTACTCTCCAACATCACACGGATCTACACCCTGAGCCATAGCTTTGCAGTCTGCTTTCTGTTTGACTGGTCCCATCCAAGGCTCAGTCGTCACAGGATTCCAAGCCAAGCTTCGACGGTCCGAGTCCGACGTGACTCCACTTCATCGGCTCTCGGTTCATCCGCCACCTTCCGCTCTCGAGTCATCGCTGCCAAGGACTCCAACAAGGACTCCAAAGACTCGGCAGGCCGTCCTTGCCAAGGATCGACCGCCGTCAGCCTGGCTAGCCGCATTTCCTACGTTGAATCAAGCTTCCTCGCTCTTTCAACGCTCAGCAAGCACGGCCAACCATTGGGCTGTATCTCGATAAATCCCGCATTCGCCCAACGCCATTGCAAACGCCTTCTCCGCTGCTGACATTGCCACACCTGTCGACATGTCTGCCAATACCTCGTCTCCACAGAAGAAGGGCCCGACAATAGATGCCCTCACAGCCAACCTGCAGGCCTCGTCGCTCAACGACCATCACGCGCTGTCGCCCCAGGCATTCAAGAAGCTGCTCCTGGACAACATCGACGAGAAGGCCGACACAATACCTGCAGCGATACTCTCGGGCCCCGACGACGCCAAATCAATTGCATCCGTCGGTGATGTTGCCGTCGATGCCGACGTGGCTGCACCTGCCGCTCCGGCCCAAGGTCTTCCAAAGTACATTGCCGACCGGGTTGCCTACGAAGGTGGCGNCCTGCCGCTCCGGCCCAAGGTCTTCCAAAGTACATTGCCGACCGGGTTGCCTACGAAGGTGGCGAGTTTGTGCTCTTGATCGGCGCCGATGCCTCTAACCCAGACAGTGCCGAGCATTTCCGCTTCAACGACGAGGAGCTTGCGATAGCGATCGCCAACGTCGTCAAGGCCTCCAATCTCTCGGACGCAGATGCTTCCGTCCTCGACCAGCGCTCGCTGGACGATGGCAGCAGGTCGGCCCACGTCCTCATCCGCAGGATACCTGCAAGCGCCGAAGAGCTTGTAGAATTGCGCATCGCCGTCATCGGCAACGTAGACGCAGGCAAATCCACCATGCTCGGCGTGCTCACCAAGGGCGGCCTCGACGACGGCCGCGGCAAGGCGCGTGTCAACCTCTTCCGCCACAAGCACGAGGTCGAGTCCGGTCGCACCTCGTCGGTCGGTATGGAGATCATGGGCTTCGACTCCAAGGGCAAGCCAGTGCACAACGTAGCCGGGCCCGGTCAGGAGCCCGGCCGCAAGATGTCGTGGGAGGAGGTGTGCGCCAAGTCGAGCAAAGTCATCTCGTTTATCGATCTGGCCGGCCATGAGCGCTACCTCAAGACCACCGTGTTCGGCATGACGGGCTGCCTGCCCGACTTTGTCATGCTCATGGTGGGTGCGAATGCCGGTCTTATCGGCATGTCCAAGGAGCACCTGGGTATCGCACTCGCTCTCTCGGTTCCCGTGGTGGTGTGCATCACCAAGATCGACATGACACCCGCCCATGTGCTCGAGACGACGCTCAAGCAGCTCACCAAGATTCTCAAGTCGCCCGGCTGTCGCAAGACGCCCGTGTTCGTGAACGACATAGGCCAGGTGGTCGACTCGGCGCTGCGACTCGAGTCGGAGCGCATCTGCCCCATCTTCCAGATCTCCAACGTCACCGGACTCAACCTCGACCTCCTGCGCAGCTTCCTCAACATCCTGCCGCAGGCGAGCGCCGCCAAGTTCCAGGTGAACAAGCCGTTTGAGTTCCAGATCAGCGACATCTTCTCGGTGCCCTTTGTAGGCACGGTGGTGTCTGGCGTCGTGCTGGCCGGCAGCTGCAAGGTGGGCGACTCGGCGTTGTTGGGTCCGGACAGCTTGGGCCAGTTTGTCACGACGTCGATCCGCAGTATCCAGCGCAAGCGCGTCAACGTGGACGGCGCGACGGCAGGCCAGAGCGTGTCGTTTGCGCTCAAGAAGATCCGCCGCAACCAGGTGCGCAAGGGCATGGTCATGGTGGCGCGCACCGACGTGGCGCCCAAGAGCTACATGGAGTTCGACGCCGAGATCCTGTGCCTCTACCACTCGACCACGCTCTCGGTCGGCTCGTGCATGGTGCTGCACGCAGCTTCGATCCGGCAGACCGTGCGCATCGTCGGCATCGCCAAGCTCGATGGCAAGCCCACGCTGGGCGTCGGCGCCGGCGCCGCAAGCGACCCTGCCGGCAAGCCGGTGGTACGCACGGGAGACCGTGCCAAGCTGCGCCTCCAGTTCATCCGCTACCCCGAATACGTCAAGCCCGGCATGAAGCTCATCACGCGCGAGGGAAAGACCAAGCTGATCGGCGTGGTGCGTGCGGTGGGGCAGACGGGGCCACTGGGCGGAACGCCAATACCCACGGCAGCACAGGCGAATGTGCCGCCGCCAGCCAACCCTGCACCAGCGCTGGGTGTCAAGTAGGTCAATAGCAGCTCGTCCTAGGCTGTCTGTAGCCATCAATACGATGTCCCCTTGCCTTTGCGAGCAATCGAGCATTCGAGCGAGTGTGACGCTTGTTGGCCAGCTGCCTGACAGTGGAAGTGGGCGCTGAGCGTGTGGAGGATTGCGAGGGAGGGGGCTTACGTAAGACAAAAATTGCATTGCGGGCAAGAAGGGTCTCGCCAGAAAATTTGAGCGGGCCTTGCACAGGCAAAATTCGGTTGGGCTGGAATCTTCATTCTGGAGGCGCTCCATCTTCCCGCCAACATCATCCACACTTTCGATCGGCACGATTTCGGATGACAATGTCGGGAGCAGCGTCTGGATCGAAGCGCAAAGCGGTCGGGGCTAGTTCGAGCCGTTCTTCCAACGGAAAGAAGGCCAAATCGGTCAGCACGGAGGGGGATGCGTCTATACCGCTTGGTCGGGCGTTGGCGTCGACGGAGAAGCGCACGCGCGATGCAGCAGTGCGTTCGCTCACAGCCTACCTGTCCGCCAACGGTGCACACACGATCGACCCGCTCGAGCTGGGTAAGCTCTGGAAGGGACTGTTCTACTGCTTTTGGATGTCGGACAAGCCGCTGGTGCAGCAACGACTCGCCAACGATCTGGCCAACCTTGTACTCGTCCACCCTACCTCAACTGAAGAGGCAGGGGAGATGAGCCAGCGCGTAATGGCGGGGTTGACGTTCCTGGAGGGGTTTTGGGACACGTTGGTGGCGGAATGGGCGGGACTGGACAAGCATAGGATCGACAAGTACTACCTGCTGGTAAGGAGGTTCGTTGCGGCAGGATTTAGACTGCTTGCAGAGGAAAAGTGGCAACCAAAAGCGGTAGAGAGGCTCGCAGCAATGTTGGGCAAATGGCCAGGTGGAGCGCTCAGTACCAACGACCCTAAAGTACCCGATTCCTTGACGTACCACTTGTCGGATATCTACCTCGACGAGCTGGAGAAGGTGATTGAAACCGTGCACGACGAGGAGAATGGTCAAGAACAGGAGGAGGAGGAAGAGGAGGAGGATTTGCCGCTCGTGCCGACGCTGCAGCTGCTCATGCCCTTCGTCGACGCACTGGCAACGGCCAAGAGCAAGGCCATGTACGACCGCATCTGGTCCAACGTGTTTGAACCGCTGCTCGACGATACGCTGCGTGCATCGGCTCGCGACGACGACTCGCAAGACGGCTCGGAAGACGAATCGGAACAGGACGACGAACAAGACGACGACCAAGACGATGCAGAGGAGGAGGCGGGTGATGAGACGACGACGGGGACGGAATTCCACTCGTTTGCCGACGAATCCACGCTCACGCACACAATCGACGACGACGAATCGGAACCTTCACTCGCTTCCGACTCGGACGACGAGGATGAAGAAGAAGACTCGGACAACGACGTTCGCTATCCTCTGCTACTGGCTCTTTCATCCGTACCCATCCCCACCGACGTCGACGAAGACGATGAGCAACTCGACGTGGCACTCGTACTGCGCAAGGCCATCTTCCAGGCGCTCTTCACCGCCGCCTCGCGCAAGGACGCCACGGAAGCGCGTCGTCGTCTTCTCTACCAGCTCTGGCGCGACGAACAAGACCGTCTCAACGATTCCTAGCTTTCTCCTCTGCAAACTTGTGCACACTGTAATGACATTTCGACGCCTGCGCGCGCGTGTTCACCTCCAGTTGGCTGAAAAGGCGTGCTCCTTGAACCACTCCTTGCCCTTTTCCTCGTAGTCTTGCTTGGAAATCGCCGTGTTGCGGAAGGTCTCCTGCTGCCGAGTGGTCCATTTGGCTGCACCTGCCCAGGCGTCGAAGCGGCGATCGCGCGCAGCACGCACATTCACCTCGACACTCGACGGCTGAATCGCCCGGATGCTCGTGTAGAGTCGCTGTTCAAAGCCGCGGTAGCCGGTGTGTCGGCCCGTGCAGAAGATGTTGCGCAGCATGCGCGAGCGCACATCGGCATCGAACGAATGCACCACATGCGCACAGATCTCGTCCAGACCCGCCTGATCCAGTCCGGCGATCGATGGCTGCCAGAGCACCTCGGGAACACGGATGCGCTCGACGTTGAGATGCAGCTGATGCTGCCGTTTAATCGATTCCGGATCCGTATCGGTCTTGGACTCGCCTTCGTCCTTGAGCGTATCGGTCGGTGCGATTGACGCCTCCTCGCCACCCCCGGGCCCGTTGAAAAACGTGAGCGTGAGCCGATTCTTGCGCGCAAGGCGTGCGGCGTAGGTGTCGTCGGGCCCAAACGTCGGATCGAGCGTTAGCAGCCGCGACTCGATCGTCGACAGCTGCGTAAATGCATCTTCCTCCTCTTCCGAATCGTCGGCATTCTGGATCTCGCGATAGATCGCCCAGTCGTCGTCATTGGCACCGAACGTGTCTTCGTCGCCACCCTTCTTGCGCTTGCGCGAGCCGGTGGGTGTCGCACTGCCACTACCTGGAGCATCCGACGCGAGCGCAGTGATGTTCTTCATGCGCTGCTGCGCCGCGAGCGACTTGCGGTCCGAAAGCATCTCCTTCATGCGCTTGCGCTCCTTGATGCGGTTGATCGCATCGTCGTACTGCTTTCGCATCTTGGCCGACCAGCCGCGCGGATTGTTGAGCCGCTCATCCTCGTCGCGCCGCAGCGCCTCTTCTTCCAGCCGCTTCTCTTCGGCCTTTTCGGCCTTGGCGCGCAGCCTGGCATCATAGCCCGCCTTCATGAGCCGCTGTTTGCGCTTCTCCTTGACGCCCTCCTCGTCCAGATCGGCATCGGGGACGTCGACCAGCGGGAACGTCGGCTCGTCCTGCTTGTCGTCCTCGACATAGTCCTCGCCGAGCTCCTTGGCGCGGAAGCGCTTGAGCGCGCCCTCGATCTTGGCGATCATCTTGTCCAGCGCGGGCTCCGAGTCGAAACCGTCGTTTTCGAGCCGCTTGAGGTACTCGGCCTTGCGCTCCTTGCCCTTGTGTTCGCGCAGCTGCTGGTAGTACTTGAGGTCGTTCTCCTTCTGCATCATCTTCTCGAGACGCATCTTGCGCGTCTGCTCGCGCAGACGGTCGCCGGCGGCCTTGCGACGCTCTTCCTGAGCGCGCAGCTCCTCCTCGGACTTCTGCTCCGGCAGCGCATCTTGGAAGGGGAATTGGACGATGACGTCGGCGCGCTCCATGGGCGTCCAGGAGGAAGGCACGTAGGACTTGTGCGAGGCGGGCATCATGGCCATGCCCTTGATGTCGGCGGCGTAGTCTTGCGAGACGTAGCAGAGCTCCTCGAGCATGTTCTGCGCCTGCCATGGCGTGACGCGTGCGGGGAAGCCGGGGTACTTGAGCTGCACGAGGCGCAGCAGGAGGTCGGACGCCTGTGCGCCGCCCCATGCGAGACGCTTGGCGTTGGTGAGAATGCCCTTGCCTGCGACGGTGGGGATGACGACCGTGCTGGCTCGGCCCGACGAGACGATGAGCGCATCGTCGGCGACGTCGTTCTGGTATGCGGAAAAGAGGCAGTCGACGCCGTAGTTGACCGAGGGCACTTGGTAGGCCTCGAACATGAGCTCATTCATGAGGCCTCTACTGTAGGCTGGATTGCAGAGCGTCTCTGTCATGCAGATGGGGTGCTGCACGCGGTCGGTGTCGATGCCGAGGTTGGAGAAGGTGTAGTCGAGGACAATTTCCATAGCGTCCCAGCCAGTGACGACGTCGGCGTCAAAGGGGCTGCGGATGGAGCTGCGCGAGAGTCCATCGGCATAGACGTCGCTTCCGACGAGGAGCATGGTGAGGTTCTTCTTGCGGTCGCGCACCTTGGAGACGAGGTTGTCGTAGGCCACAAAGGGCTGGTGAGCGACCGAGGCTGGATCGGCAGCATCGGCGAGGCTGAAGCCGGCACGGAGCTCGCTCGTGCCATTGTCGATGACGATGGGGCAGTTCGAGTTCCAGTAGGTGGAGGAGCGGTAGGCGAGCTTGGGCACGGATTTGGGCCTGGGGAAGTCGGCGGCGGTGTGGACGGGGACGTGGTCGAGCGGCTGATATGGGTTGGAGGAGGAGGAGGATGCGGCGTGCGAGGAGTGCGGCATGCGATCGTCGTAGACCGCGACGGGCGCCATGGTTGTTTTCTGGAGTGGCCGCTGCCGCTGAGTAGGTAAGGTGATGGTGGTGTGGGACCGAGAAGCAGTCGTTGTGACGACCACAACGACGAGTCGAGACGGTTGGAAATTCCGAGCTTCGCAGATCCACATCTGCCGAACGCCAAAAGAGAAGCGTATTTCGACTCGGTCCAAACCCTGCATGAGGCCGTTCTGAGCGCGTCACTGCAGCCACATTTCTAGAGCGGGTTCATCTGCTCACTCGAAGCGCCGTCATCAACGTTGAAACGGCGAGCTGTCACTCTCTCACCCTCATATACGCGGCAGCGATGCAGTCGCATCATTTGAAGAGTGGACAGCGGGTATCATGGCACGGCTACTTTGGCTTGGGTTGTGGCGGCTTGGGATCCGAGGGTTTTGGGCTGCCTTCCGCGTTGGTGGAGGACTCTCTGCGCTTGCGGACCTCTTCGAGCCATATGGTTCCTTCGTTCATCCTGTCGGCCTCTTGGTTCATGCGGTCGAGCCAGCGCTGGAGGAGGCTGGCGTTGTCCTTCTTGAGGTCCTGGTTGCGCGCCTCGATCTGACTGAGTTCGAGGCTGAGTGTGGCCAGCTCGTCCTGCAAGATCTGAATGCCTCGATCCTTTTCTCCCACGGCGTGCGTGAGGTCGTCGGCCTGGCGCCGAAGCTTTTCGTGGTCGATCTGGAGTTTGGCGAGCAGTTCCGACTGGCGGCGCGCCTCGTCTTCCTTTTCGCGATGCGATTCGTTCATGAGCAGCAGCCGCTGCGCATTCTGTCCCTGCGTCTTGTACAGCGTCGCAACCTCGTCCCGCAGCGACGCGAGTTGCTGCTCGAGTGATGTGATGTAGGCAAGCTGGACCGAAGTCGCCGCAGGAGTCACCGAGGGCGAAGGCGAGGCGGCACCGGACGTGGCACCCGCTGGGCTCGAGGCTGAGGCGGACGATGGCGATGGTGCTACGGCGGCTGCATTGAGGAGGGCGCGGTTGCGCTGCTTCAGCATGCGTGTCTGCTCTGCGAGCTTGCGGTCTTGTCACGTCAAAAAGAGTATGAGCAGCGTCAGCGGCTGGGGCGAAGGATGAGCGATGAGCTCACTTACACTGTTGAAACATGGCATCGTGCTGCTTCTCCACCACATCTCGCTCTTGCAGCCGCAGGAAGATGGCCTGGTGCCACTGCATGCCTGTCGAACCATGCGTCGTCATGGCTGCGGAGGAAGCCGATGTGATCGTAGGCTGAGCAGGAGCTCGGACTCGAGCCGGCGCGTGCACGTTCGTTGGCAGCATCTCTGCAGGAGTGAGCAACACAGCCAGGGTCCAATCTAGGCATGTTAGAGCGCTGCCTGGGCGGGAGCCGGCTTGAAAGCACAGTGGCATGACGAAATGCAAAATTGGACCCACTTTTGGGTGCGACACGAGTCTCGGCAAAGCAGCGGAGGGATCGGCGATGTGACTGCTTTGCGTGTGTGGGTGTGTTTAGACTGAGCCTGAGCGTTGTTGCCTTGACGCGGTGTGCTGCCTCAGGGGTGCGGCGCCCTTGCGGGTGTTGTGTGCGTGCCAAATTCCGGAGCTCGCGCTGCCGCCCCGCCCGCGCAATCCGCACTCCACATGTGAAGGCAGAGGGAGGGAGCGAGTAAGAGAGAGCCAGAGGAGAGAGAGAGGGTTGGCGTTGCTCACGCAACACATCCGACACTCGCTATCACCTCCCGACTCCTTTCGATCCACATCAGCCAATCGCACCCTTCCTTCGACTACAGCGTCCTCGCAGCGCTCCTTTTTAGTCGCAGTGCACGCTGGCGATATCGACTGCAAGCACATATCGACAGCATTCTAGCCGGGTTCGGACCTGCATCCTATCTTTGTCGTCTGGTGGCTCGTCCCAGTCGCAGCATCCTCTTTCGCCATGGCCTCCCGCAAGAAGGTCCTCCTCAAGGTCATCGTACGTATTCACACTCGCAACTCGATTTCATATCGATGAGATGCCACGTGCTGATCCTTGCTCCATCCCTGTCTGACTGCTTGACCTTGCCCTGTCTTAGATCCTGGGTGACTCTGGGTAAGTGCATCTGACTGCGTTCCGTTGCCTACGCATCCATGACACTGCAGACTGACACCGCACTTTGATACTTTTCCGCCCTCGCTTCTTCTCTGGCAACTCGCAGTGTCGGAAAGACATCGTTGATGAACCAATGTAAGCACACGCCTCCGTAGCGGCCCCCTTGCTGGTCCAGCCTGCACCTGCTGACCCAGCGCATTCTTGCTTCCTTTCCTGCCACAGACGTAAATAAGCGCTTCTCGTCTGCATACAAGGCAACGATCGGAGCCGACTTCCTCACGCGCGAGGTGATGGTCGACGACCGCCTCGTCACCATGCAGCTGTGGGACACGGCGGGCCAGGAGCGCTTTCAGTCGCTCGGCGTCGCCTTCTACCGCGGCGCCGACTGCTGCTGCCTCTGCTACGACGTGAACAACGCAAAGTCGTTCGAGACGCTCGACTCGTGGCGCGACGAGTTCCTCATCCAGGCCGCACCGCACGATCCCGAAAACTTCCCCTTTGTCGTGCTCGGCAACAAGATCGACGTCGAGGAGAGCAAGCGCATGGTCTCGCAGAAGCGCGCCATGACGTGGTGCCAGTCCAAGGGCAACATCCCCTACTTTGAGACGAGCGCAAAGGAGGCCATCAACGTCGAACAGGCCTTCCAGACCATCGCGCGCGCGGCCCTCCAGCAGGAGGCAGAGGCCGAACTCTACGCCGACTACCCAGACCCCATCCGAATCGACCAGGACAACCAACAAAGCGGATGCAACTGCTAGTCGCTCTTTTCTCGACATACGATGCCCGATACCTCTTTCCCTTTCTTCGTCTCATCCACTCGGCAGCTCACTGCTACCTCCCTTTGCTCGCCTGTCGTCTTATCGTAATCTTTTCCGGACCAAGATGCGTGCTGAGCTCATTGCGCCGAGGTATACATGTTGTGTTTTAAGCAGCGGGTGGTGGTGAGGTGTGCCGGGAGCGTTTGCGGTGCAGATCGTCGGCGTGTTGGTCGTCGTGGCGCTTGGAACGGCGCTGCGAGTCCGACTCGTCCCGGCGCTCCCGACGGTGGCGGTGCTCCCGATGCTCGTGGTCGGATCGCTGCCGACGCTGACGATCCGCTTCGTCGTCACGCCGCCGTTCACGTCGCTCGGTGTCGTGCCGACTTTGGTCGTCGTCGCGATACCGTGAGCGTCGGTCGCGGTCACGCTCGTCCTGACGCTCTCGGCTCCGATCGCGGTGGTGGCTACGATGTTCTCGGAGCTCGCGATGCTCTCGGTCGCGGTGGGATGAGGAGGACTTGTGGTTGTGATCCCTTCGACTACGCGATTGCTCCTCTCCATCCTCCTCCCTACGTGTCCGCTCCGGCCTCGGACTTCGACTTCTTCGACGTTCCGACTGCGCCTCGGGCGCACTCTCCCCCCACGTCCTCGACCCATCCACCCCATCGCCAAGGTCGGCACGATTCGAACCGCTACGCTCTGCACCACCTCGCTGCGGGCAGTCCTTCTTCATATGCGCACCGCCGCAAACAAAGCACGCACTCGCCATATCGAGCTTCATGGCGCTCTTGGAGGTGTCTTCATTGGCGAGGTGGGTCCACTTGCTGCGGCCTTTGGCGCCAAAGTTGCGCACCTGCATCATCTTGGGCAGCTTGCTCACGTCGACCTGGCTGCTGGTCGCCTCGGTATAGTCGCGCTTCAGAATGTCCATGTCCTGGAAGAAGCTGCCCTTGTGGTAGTACTTCTGCAGGAACGCAGGATTTCCTCGCTGTTCTCGCTTCTCTGCGGCTTGTTGCTTGGCGCGTTCGCGGCCAAGACGCTCCTTTTCGGATTCGGGTAGCGCACGGAAAGCGTCCAGCTCCGCTTGGGCTTTGCGCTTCTCGTCCATGGCTTCGCGATCGCGTTGCAAGCGTGCCAGCTCGCGTTGCCGCCACGCTTCGAATTCGGCTTCGGGGTCAAGGCCGTCCGTATCGTCCACGTCGGTCGCGTGCGTTTCTTGGTACTCTTTCTCCGCCAGCTGGCGCTTGATCGTGGCAGCCGCGAGATCGTGCGCCTCCTGCCGACGTTTGGCAGCCTCCTCCTCCGCCTTGGCTTCAACATCCTCTTGTGCTGCCTCTGCGTCAGCAGTTCCCGCGGCGATGGTCGTGCGCGCTCGTTTCGGAACAAAGATCGGTTTGGCAAGAGGTGGAGGAGCCGCTTCTTCACCGCTGCCCTCGTCGTCCGAGTCGGTCTCGTACTCGCACGATTCGTCCTTCTGTGCTGACTGAGACGGCGCATCAGGCTTGCGAAACACCGGTCTGGCCTGGGCTGGTTCGGAGTCATCCTCGCTGGTGTCGGTCTCGTACTCGGACGAATCGTCCTGCTCTTGCGCCCCCGTCGGTTCTGCAGCAGCATTGAGGCGCACGCTGATCTTCTTTGGGCTCGAAGACGGATCAGCAATCACAATTCCGGCCATTCTTCGCTGTGCAGAGGACTGCAGCGCAGCTGTGCCCGAAGAAAGGTCCGAGATGCTGACGCTCGTCGGCGCTGCGGTGTGACGCGAGTCGTGATCGTCGGCGTGCTCGTCGTTGTCCGAGTCCGAGAAGTCATCGAGCGAGCCTGCGGCCCCAACGGGAGCTTTGCCTGGACGATACCTGGCTGCGGGTCGCGCCACTTTGGCAGCCGCCTTCGGCTGTGTAGTAGGCGCCATGGTGAGGCGTGTTCTCGGGTGGATGTACGGCAAGAGCGCTGCCGCGGGTGGAGGAAGGGCTCAGCTTCAAGAAGCAACAGGCTCTGACGTGAGCTCGGGACTCGGGCTACGTCCAAATCATTAAACTGTTAGACCCCACCTCGGATCATCCTGTAGTTTGACGATGTAACAGTTGCACTTCCTGACCTCCTGGCCATCTCCCCTAGGCTACAGTTCCGACTTTGGCATTGCCTCGGAGTATCAAGCGGAGCGCACGCTTTGCTCCGCACAACCATGAATCCACGGGTGAAAGCGACCGGTTCGAGGGGATACTTGCATGCGTATGTGGTGGAGCGTGGAAACACAATGCGGCGACTGCCTGTCTGAACCGACGACGATCCTGACCGTGCGGTTAGCTCGACGAGTTAGCGGCTTCAAGGGGCGGGGGGGGG